TTTACTCTAACAACTTCCAGTACATCCTCTTAACAATTTCCAGTACACTTTCATTAAGTCGACTTTTGATGACTATTGCGTCACCATTTGTTCCTTCTTAGTTTCTTTGCCAGAGCAATTTAAATTTTTGGTCGCTATCTCCAAATTTTCTTGTGCAGCTTTCTTTGAAACGAGTTTCTTGTAGGTAGCACACCAACATCTTCTCGTTAGATTTTAGCAAATCTCAAGACATTTCCTTCTAGTGTCCATTTTAGTAATAGTCATATTATTAGTTGAAACCATGAGATTCATAGCACTCCCTCCATTTACGGGGCGCACGGGACTGAGGGCCCTTGTTTGTATGAATTTGCTTGGAGCGGTGCTCTTTACCTAGCGTTTTTAGGCCGAAATCCTTATAGACCGCATGACCTCCTTCATTTTCCGAGCACCCAAAGAGAAAGTTTTCACCCATCTTCAATTGTCGGAACAAAAATCTAAGATTCAAAATTCATTCCATCAATAAATGTGATCGCAACATTTTCTTTTTTTTGAACAGCAGATGGCTCTCCTTGTCTCAATCATGTTCTCTTTTATACTCGGAAATCTATTCGAACGTAAAGAAAACAACCGACAATAAAAACTTTTACCTAATGATTGCATAAGAAAACGATAAAAGTAATTAGTTAAATTAACTTTTCATGTCATCTGAATAGTAAGGGATTGAAAATAACAAACATCCGAAAAAATTCGACCGTATTGCTTTTGCACAGTGTTCCATTATGGTACTTTATTTCAACGAAATTTTTTTTCTTCAAATCAGGGTTCACATGAAGTTAGGTATATCAAGAAAATCTTGCTCTCTCATTTTCAATTTTGGTTAGGCCTCTTAGAACCTCGGTAGAAATTAAAACCAATGTGCGACATTTTTTTTTCGTTTTTTATTTGTTTTAATTTTATTTAGCAATGTGGGGCTTAAGTGGTCCTGCAACTCCTATGAAGACTACAGAACAGTCAAGTGATAAGGCGCTTACACCTCGTCCTCAAAAACCAAATACTCCTATGATCAAAAAAAGATCCACCGCGAGTCCGTTGGTGCAATCTATGAATCGGATGAACATTGTTACCTCGAATGAGCCAAAAATTGGTACACCAAGGTCTGCTATGTACAAAACCCGCTCTGTATTTGCTGCGAGGAAAGATTTTGCTGAAATATGTCCTAAGTCCAAAATATGTTCTGATAAAGTGACCAAAATTCGGGGAGCTGACATAGGAACCGCGGAAGTTGCTATAGATTCATTTAAGTCAAATAGTTCGTTAGGAAAATCACCATCGCTCCCTTCAACTAAAGAAAAAAATGTGGCCAACACTGAAGCTCAAAAACGAAGACCGCTCTTTGCGAATCGAAAAGATTTCTTTGAATTGGTTCCACATGCCAAGAATGCTTCAGGATCAATTAGCGCAATGAATGCTGAATCTGCGAACAATCAGAAAGGGGTCTCGAAATCAAAAACTCCTATTGAAAGAACAAAGGTTTCTGACGAAGAGATGGCACGGTCGACCGGTACTAGCAAAGGAAATATTGTCCCGGTTTTAATTTCCGGAGTTCAAAAACGACGATCCGTGTTTGCAAATCGTAAAGATTTCCACCAATTGGTTCCCCATGCAAAGGTAGCCTCGAATGCTTCTTTAGTTTCCGAGACCAATAAAGATTACGTGCATGTTGAGAAGGATACCTCTTCAAAATCAAAAACTCTTGCAGGCAAAACAAAGACCCCCGAAAAGGAGAGCTCAAATTCAATTGCCGGGCTAAATGATGAAATTCAAAAGGATGTTACCCTGACCAAACTTAGCAAAGAGAAAACTCCCGGAAAAAGCCAGATACTAAAAAGCGAGAAAATTGAAAAAGCCATTAGCAAGGAAGATATTCTTCCTCCAATATCAGATGTGAAAGGTCGGAGATCTGACAAGTCAGCGTTTGCGGATAGGAACGACTTCACTTCTAACGTAGGGAAAAATATGCGAAAGTTATGTTCCAATGATGCAGTAGGAAGGGCAGTGAAAGCATCGAAAGAAAGGAAAAACTTCGTGAAAGATAAAACTCCCGATAGAGAAATCTCGAAAGATGTTCTCAAATTTAATACGCCTAAGCATCCTTTTGAAAAGTCAGAGAACGGGAATGGGTCAAGTATTGGCTCCTCTTCTGTCTTCGAAACAAAAGGCAATACGCTGAGAACCTTGACTCCGAAGCAGAACCCAATAAGCAAAGGCTCTCAAGTCATGTGTACTCCGAAAAATGCTGTAAAGCCAACGTTGGTATTCAAACCGGCTTCTGTCGGACCAAAAGCGACCCCTAGAGTTATAGATCAGAGCGCGGTGGCAGCGACTCCAGTTATGAAATCAAGCAAGTTGACTGCCGGTAGCGCAGGAGCTATCAAAGGTACACCGGCTCTAACGAGAATGCCAACATCGAAAAGAGGCGTGAAGCCAGTCCTTTCAATCAAAATCTCGAAATGATCGGATAAATTTTAGCGAGTTAAATTTTAGTTTAATGTTACCAAAAACATTTTTGTTGTGGCAAGTCTGTTTTGATCTTGTTTTTGAGGTGTGTTACTGCGTTATTATAACTATCTGAATATTATATGTTAGTTGAGGTCCTTTTCACCTCTGATAACATAAAGCAGAAGGCTATTTTATATATGTTATTTGAAGTCCTTTTGACTTAATTGCATCATTTTCAGATTATTGGTTAAGCGAAGGACCAATAAATATGGATGCAGATGGATTAAAAGAGTTAGAATGTATGATTTGCCTGAGTTACCCATTAGACGCTAAATTGATCTCCTGTTGTGAGCATCTTGTATGCGGCAACGAGTGTGCTCCGTCTCTTGGAAATTCATGTCCTCATTGTCGAAACACACGTTTCTCATTATCACCAGTTTCGGGGCCTATAAAGCGCATCATTAATGACTTGTCAATTCCATGTCCCAATGAATGTGGAAGTAACATCAAAATTGGCAACCATGGCGATCACCAGAAGTTCTGTGCCAAAAAGTTTATGGCGTGTCGCTTTTGCAACCAAAGTTTCCCGGCTAACACATTTATGAGTAAGTTATATTCACAGTTTCTACTACTTTGTGGAATATTTATGGAATCAATATGCGCTTAGTACAAACCACCGAAGGTGTGGAGGATTTAATGGAGCGGGTGTTTTTTTATGCAAACTCAGTTACCGCATGTAAACAAATGGGGTCGAGCGAATTTACTTGCAATAGTAGCTATATTATAAACTGAAACTATGCTTTTTGTTCCGACTTTTGAAGAAAGTGCTGAATGTATTTGCTTGGGTGGTTTTTTCATTCAGACCATTTTTAGCTAATTTTCCGAGACCTATACGTGCACGCGCATCACTCTGTTAGCGCGACTGTCTGTGCAAGGTGAAACGAGTCCATCTGTACGGCTCGTTTCGTACTTTGATGCTAAAAGTTTAGCGTGAATTTTTTACGCGTTGTGATTTATCCTGCTGTGCAAAATTGTTCCAAATTGATTGTAGGCAAGCTAATTGGTACTATTTGTTTCATTATGACTCAAATTTGAACGTTAAACTTTGATATCAGCCTGAAAGCACTTGAAGGGCAGCCGGAACATTCTGAGCTTTGCCCTGATACAAGCAGTCTTGTTATGTGTTTACACGAGCGTAGCATAGTGTGATAGTATGATGCAACTTTTTTCAACCTAATCCGCAAATAAAATTGATACTTTTTGTGGCATTTTTGAATCAATAGGCTGCATTAGCAATATAAAGCCGTTTGGCACTATTATACGGTGTTGTAAATATTGGTGCCACTTTTGGTGGCACCTTAACAGCCATTTGATTGCGTGTTCGGTGACGTTTGACTAGTAATATTTTGACACAGTTGATGCTTTGCTAAGTTTTTTGAATTTAAAAAAGCTTCTGTTTCTTACAACAGCAGAATAATTTTATTCCCATTTCAGAAAATTTCCAACTCGATTCATTTTGCCAGAATTTCGAAATGCATAATTTATACGCCGTTTTTCTTAAAACATTATTTTATTACATGCAAAGTTACTGTGGCTGCCTTTAGTTCAGTATATTCAAAATTATTGCTTGCGAACTTGTTTTTTTGCATCCTAAAGTTTTTGTCGCTTTCTCGCTCCTGTTTTACGAGGTTGAATCTTAGCCTCTGTGTGACATTTTAATTACCAAGTGTTTTTGTTCACCGTCAAGTTTCTTAATTGTAATTGAGTGCAAAAACTTACTGAGCGTGTTGTCCACCTTTTTTGCACGTGTTTGAAATCTATGGTTTTTAAGCTCCATTTGGAGTTGATTTTGTCTGTTGGCTTTCTATCAATTATTGAAACTCATACTCTACGGTGTTTTTCGCTATTTCAAAAATTGCCATTGACAAGGAATTATCCTAGCTCATATGTTGAAATAGGCTTTTCATTGCCTTAAGAAAGATCTTGAAATTTGATCACCCTCAAATTTGATTTTTTTTAGCAGTTTGACTTTTGATTTCTTTCAAGTTTAGTTCATTCCCTTTCTTGAAAAGAAAAAAACTCCACTATCGAACGCCATGGAATTTAAACGACACATGCATTTTTAGCAGTTCTTTTTTCCTTTGTTAGCAATTCGTTAAGCGTCATCAGTAAAATGTGTTATTTTGATTTTTTAACTGTAATTTGCGAATTTACCAACCCTGATTTTGTATAATTTCCTTTTTTTTCCATTTTGAGGGCTTAATCGGCTTAGATGGTTTTGCCTTATAATCTCTCGGTTAAGTCACCCAGTATTGAGTTTTACAAACAAAAAGAGAGTCCAATGGGGGATTTCGAAAATCATTAACTCGGAATTTTACTGGGAATCAGCAAAGGTATTGCAACCGGGTACTAGACTTTTTCCCCGTGAACAACTTTGTTTATAGAATGTTTCATTTAACAGGATTGGTATAGAATGTTTCATTCAACAGGAATGGTAAATTCAAGACACGCTAATCTTTTTGCTTATTAAATATTAATAAGGAGGAGTTTGTTTCAGGCAGTAAAAAGTTTTTATTGAATAAACTTTTTTTTAAATGTTGCAATATTTCGGGTTCTTGCTTTCGGCCCAGTTTCAATCGGTTCATTTTTTAAATTATCAGTTATTTTATCTGGTGTGTTTATTATGTAACTTATTTGGCGTGTAGTTTTGAGGGAAAATTTTTTTTTCGACAAAATCAGTTATTGTGAAATCAGTTTTTTTAAAGTTATTTTTAGACGATTTTACTTATTCTCTTTTTCTATTGAGCCACCTTTAACGGCCTTCGAAAATCTCAACTTATTTGTTAGTTGAGGTCCTTTTCACCTCTGATAACATAAAGCAGAAGGCTTTTTTATATATGTTATTTGAAGTCCTTTTGACTTAATTTTATCATTTTCAGATTATTTGTAAAGCGAAGGACCAATAAATATGGACGCGGATGCATTAAAAGAGTTAGAATGTATGATTTGCCTGAGTTAACCATTAGACGCTAAGTTGATCGCGTGTTGTGAGCATCTTGTATGCGGCAAAGAGTGTGCTCCGTCTCTTGGAAATTCATGTCCTCGTTGTCGAAACACACGTTTCTCATTATCACCAGTTTCGGGGCCTATAAAGCGCATCATTAATGACTTGTCAATTCCATGTCCCAATGAATGTGGAAGTAACATCAAAATTGGCAACCATGGCGATCACCAGAAGTTCTGTGCCAAAAAATTTATGGCGTGTCGCTTTTGCAACCAGAGTTTCCCGGCTAACACTTTTATGAGTAAGTTATATTCACAGTTTCTACTACTTTGTGGAATATTTATGGAATCTATATGCGCTTAGTACAAACCACCGTTGTACACGGAAACTATGCTTATTTGTTGCGACTTTCGAAGAAAGTGCTGAATGTATTTGCTTGGGTGGTTTTTTCATTCAGACCATTTTTAGCTCTTTTTCCGAGACCTATACGTGCACGCGCATCACTCTGTTAGCGCGACTGTCTGCAAGGTGAAACGAATCTATCTGAACGGCTCATTTCGTACTTTGATGCTGAAAGTTTAGCGTTAATTATTTACGCATTGTGATTTATCCTGCTGTGCAAAATTGTTCCAAATTGATTGCGGGCAAGCTAATTGGTACTTTTTGTTTCATTATGACTCAAATTTGAACGTTAAACTTTGATATCAGCCTGAAAGCGCTTGAAGGGCAGCCGGAACTCTCTGAGCTTTGCCCTGAGACAAGCAGTCTTGTTATGTGTTTACACGAGCGTAGCATAGTGCTATAGTCTGATGCAACTTTTTTCAACCTAATCCGAAAATAAAATTGATACTTTTGGTGGCATTTTTGAATCAATAGGCTGCATTAGAAATATAAAGCTGTTTGGCACTATTATACCGTGTCGTAAATATTGGTGCCATTTTTGGTGGCACCTTAACAGCCATTTGATTGCATGTTCGGTGACGTTTGACTAGTAATAATTTGACACAGTTGATGCTTTGCTAAGTTTTTGAATTTAAAATAGCTTCTGTTTCTTACAACAGCAGAATAATTTAATTCCCATTTTAGAAAATTTCCAACTCGATATATTTTGCCAGAATTTCGACATGCATAATTTATACGCAGTTTTTCTTGAAACATTCTATTTAATTTCATGCAAAGTTTATATGACTACCTTTAATTCAGTATATTCCAAATTATTGCTTGCGAACTTCTTTTTTTTGCATCCTAAAGTTTTTGCCGCTTTCTCGCTCCTGTGTTTACGAGGTTGCATTTTAGCCTCTCCGTGTTATTCTAATTACCAAGTGTTTTTGTTCACAGTCAAGTTTCTTGATTGTAATTGAGTGCAAGCATTCACTGAGCGTGTTGTCCACCTTTTTTGCACGTGTTTGAAAGCTATGATTTTTAAGCTCAATTTGGAGTTGATTTTGTCTGTTGGCTTTCTATCAATTTTTGATACTCATATTCTACGGTGTTTTTCGCGATTTCAAAAATTGCCAATGACAAGCAATAATCCTAGCTCATATGCTGAAATAGGTTTTTCATTGCCTTAAGAAAGATCTTGAAGTTTGATCACGCTCGAATTTGATTTTTTTAGCAGTTTGACTTTTGGTTTCTTTCAAGTTAAGTTCTTTCCTTTTCTTAAAAGGAAAAAACCTCCACTATCGAACGCCATGGAATTCAAACGAAAGATGCAATTTTAGCAGCTCTTTTTTTCCTTTGTTAGCAATTCGTTAAGCGTCATCAGTAGAACGTGTAATTTTGATTTTTTACCTGTAATTTGCGAATTTACCAACCCTGATTTTGTATAATTTCCTTTTTTTTCCATTTTGAGGGCTTAATCGGCTTAGATGGTTTTGCCTTATGATCTCTCGGCTAAGTCACCCAGTATTGAGTTTGACAAACAAAAAGAGATTCCGATGCGGGATTTCGAAAATAATCAACTCGGAATTTTTCATGGTTATTCTGGCAATCTGCAAATGTATTGCAACCTGGTACTAGACTTTTTCCCCGTGAACAACTTTGCTTATAGAATGTTTCATTTAACAGGAATGGTAATTTCAAGACACGCTCAATTTTTTTGCATATTAAATAAAACTCTCATCATTAAGTATTAATATGGAGGAGATTGTTTCAGGCAGTAAAAAGTTTTTTGAATAATTTCAGGTTCTTGTTTTTTGAATAATTTCGAGCAATATTTCGGGTTCTTGCTTTCGGCCCAGTTTCAATCTGTTCGTTTTTACCTACTCTCTTTTTCTATTAAGCAATTATCCTAGCTCATATGTTGAAATAGGCTTGTCATTGCCTTAAGAAAGATCTTGAAGTTTGATCACGCTCGAATTTGATTTTTTTAGCAGTTTGACTTTTGATTTCTTTTAAGTTTAGTTAATTCCCTTTCTTAGAAGGAAGAAAAACTCCTCTATTGAACGCCTTGGAATTCAAAAGAAACATGCATTTTTAGCAGTTCTTTTTTTCCCTTGTGAGCAATTCGTTAAGCGTCATCAGTAAAACGAATTTTACCTGTAATTTGCGAATTTACCAACCCTGATTTTGTATAATTTCCTTTTTTTTCCATTTTGAGGGCTTAATCGGCTTAGATGGTTTTGCCTTATGATCTCTCGGCTAAGTCACCCAGTATTGAGTTTGACAAACAAAAAGAGATTCCGATGCGGGATTTCGAAAATAATCAACTCGGAATTTTTCATGGTTATTCTGGCAATCTGCAAATGTATTGCAACCTGGTACTAGACTTTTTCCCCGTGAACAACTTTGCTTATAGAATGTTTCATTTAACAGGAATGGTAATTTCAAGACACGCTCAATTTTTTTGCATATTAAATAAAACTCTCATCATTAAGTATTAATATGGAGGAGATTGTTTCAGGCAGTAAAAAGTTTTTTGAATAATTTCAGGTTCTTGTTTTTTGAATAATTTCGAGCAATATTTCGGGTTCTTGCTTTCGGCCCAGTTTCAATCTGTTCGTTTTTACCTACTCTCTTTTTCTATTAAGCAATTATCCTAGCTCATATGTTGAAATAGGCTTGTCATTGCCTTAAGAAAGATCTTGAAGTTTGATCACGCTCGAATTTGATTTTTTTAGCAGTTTGACTTTTGATTTCTTTTAAGTTTAGTTAATTCCCTTTCTTAGAAGGAAGAAAAACTCCTCTATTGAACGCCTTGGAATTCAAAAGAAACATGCATTTTTAGCAGTTCTTTTTTTCCCTTGTGAGCAATTCGTTAAGCGTCATCAGTAAAAAGGGTAATTTTGATTTTTTTACCAGCAATTTGCGAATTTACCAGCCCTGATTTTGTATAATTTCCTTTTTTTTCCACTTGAGGGCTTAACCGGCTTAGATGGTTTTGCCTTATATTCTCTCGGCTAAGTCACCCAGTATTGAGTTTTACAAACAAAAAGAGATTCCGATGGGGGATTTCGAAAATCCTTAACTCAGAATTTTTCATGGTTATTCTGGCAATCAGCAAAGGTTTTGCAACCGGGTACTAGACTTTTCCCCGTGAACAACTTTGTTTATAGAATGTTTCACTTAACAGGAATGGTAAATTCAAGGCACGCTCAATTTTTTTTTTAATAATAAATATTAAGGAGGAGTTTGTTTCAGGCAGTAAAAAATTTTAATTGAATAAACTTTTTTTTAAAATGTTGCAAGTTTTTAGAATAAGTGTTTTATCAAAAAAACTCAACTGTGGTATTTTTTTTTGCGTAAAAAAACACACTGCAGTTTCGATAAAGCAATTGACATCGCAAAAGTTGAAATTTTCAACGTTAGACCTTTTTTTGAAAGTTTTTTGATTTTTCTCAAAAACTACTGAGCAAATTTTGAGATTGAGGGTATAGACAAAGGAACACGTTGCGAGACTTTTTTCTCGGAATTGTGGACTACTTTGTTTTCTCAGATAACTGTTTTCGGAAAAGTCCAGTTCTTGAAACTTACACGCTTTTTGCAATTTTTTCGCAAAAACAACCCTGCTAAATCTGAGATTTAGAGTTCAATCAAAACAGCTGGTTATGAAATTGTTCCCCATTTAAGTACCTTGCGACTTTGGGCTCATTCAAAAGAACTCCCTGTGTGAATCGTCCTGTTGTAGGAAAAATGTTACGAACTTGAAAGACACGTTTTTGAGATTGTGATCGTTTTTTGGGAACTTTTTTGTGCTCAGTCTACTCTGCCGCTAAGTTTGAGGTTAGTGATCAAATCGAAGGAAAATTTTATTTTATTTGCGAAAGCACTTTCACGAATTTTCTTTTTGCATATTTATTGAACTTTATTAACTTCCTGGTGCGTTCCCACTTGGCCTGGAGGTAACGTGGTTGTCGTTGCGCTCAAATGTTTAAGGTTCGAGTCCGAGCTGGAGTTTTAATTTTTTCATTATTTATCAAATTGAAGTTGTTTTCCGGTAAAATTTGAATTTTCGAACATTTGTTTGTCTGCTGGAGTTTTTGTTGACCTATCACAGATTGTTGTTGTGCTGCAAACAAGTGTCACTAGTG